TTGACCACCTAATGCAAAAAGTAAAACGTGATTGCCGCTGGTGGCGGTGTTTACGACCCAAGCCAGTAGTCGGTCGGGCTTTGAAGTGAGAAAGCTCGTTACAATATGCGCTGTATCAAAAATGACCGCTTTCTACCCCAGGCTCAGCTCAGCTTAGCGAGATAGTGAATGTTTCTTAAAGTGTTTGCTTTAAAGTGCTTTTCTTTGTCATCAAGCCGTGCATCATAAAACTATCGGAACAATTAAAGTCGAATGAATATTCCACACGGCTATAGCTTCTTGGGAATGGGCTATCACGTAAACCTTGTCTTAAATATTCTATTAATACATTATTTTCTACTTTGTTATTATGTTATCAGCAAGCTTATTTATTTATATATTATTATTTATTCTTTGCATCTACTCGCAGTTTTAATAAGTAAACATTTAAAGACTACGTCAAATTATTTGCTGTTGAAAATACTCAACAAGTAAACTTCAAAACAGATAATAAATTAGTTAATACTTTCCAATAGCAAAGACCTCTTTGCTAACTTCGAGGGCTGACCGTGCTGAAGTTGGCTCATGAATATTGAAGGAAACGCAATCGACTCAGACTTCCGGCTCGAAACATTTGCACTAACACTTCACACTAAAACTCCATTTGTAACGTGGATTCAATGCTAGTTGAAGCGATTTTCTTTTGAACGAATTGTATATTTAAATCGTATTTGTGTTGGGTAAAAGCATTTTATTCGGAAGTATCTAAACGTATTATTTGAAAATGATTCGAAAATTTTCAACAAAAAATTCGAATGAACAAATCGATATCGATGCATATGAAATTTGTAACCTAATCGGAAAAATAAAAGTTGTGAAATTCCAAGAAAATATTCGAACCTTGAACAAACTGTCAAATAAAAATGCACTGTAATGGTGTTTAGTTTTATAACACATTCCTGGTATTTCTACATTTTTAGGATGCAATTAAGTTGCATGTTAAGCTCCCATGAATATTAGTTGCATTTTCTAAGTACCCGGTCTTTTAACCTGTAGCGCATTAAATGTAAATCAGAACCGGAATTATTGGGCTTGCTGACTCATATTTTTATAGTAATGCACGTTTCGTTTTATTGTATGTAACTAGCGGTAGGTATTTAAATTTGCGATTAAGGTGTTAAGTTACCATTATTTTTTTCTGTAATAATGAAAACTAGTGGTCCCGCAGTAGTCGAAATTCGACTATAATTAATTGGAATTGTAAGTTTGTACACTATTATGATTGTATTTTATACTTCTATAATCACAAATTTCGCCAAGACTACACTATAAAAAATATTAACAAAGACAAACAATATTTAATCTATTCTCAATTTGACAACAGATGTCAAGAACAAAGTTTGGCAATAAATAGTATGCATGCGTGTGTGCGTCAAATACATGGTATGTAGTGTGTGTAATGTTTTCTTTATTGATTTAATGTATCTTTTATGCATTATTTAAAAAAAAATTAGCATTGTGCACTTCTTCCCTATATTCTCTACTAGCGACCCGCCCTCGCTTCGCTTCGGAAACATTAAATCTTATGTCATCGTGGCCTAACGGATAAGACGTCCGGTGCATTCGTGATGAAGCGATGCACAGGTGTTCAAATCCCGCAGGCGGGTACCAATTTTTCTGATGAAATACGTACTCAACAAATGGTCACGATTGACTTCCACGGTGAAGGAATAACATCGTGTAATAAAAATGAAACCCGCAAAATTATAATTTGCGTTATTACTGGTGGTAGGACCTCTTGTGAGTCCGCGCGGGTGGGTACCACCACCCTGCCTATTTCTGCCGTGAAGCAGTAATGCGTTTCGGTTTGAAGGGTGGGGCAGCCGTCGTAACTATACTTGAGACCTTAGAACTTGTATCTCAAGGTGGGTGGCGCATTTACGTTGTGGATGTCTATGGGCTCCAGTAACCACTTAACACCAGGTGGGCTGTGAGCTCGTCCACCCATCTAAGCAATAAAAAAAATGAAACCAAAAAAATAAAATATTTTTTTTTTTTAAAAAGTAGCCTATGTTCATCAGGGACAATGTCGGCTTCAAATGGAAAAAGAATTTTTCAAATCGGTCCAGTAGTTTCGGAGCCTATTCGAAACAAACAAACAAACAAATCTTTCCTCTTTATAATATTAGTATAGATAAGTGTGGAAAATTTCATACTCCTCCGTCCGCGCAATTTTCGTAAAAAGGGATACAAAGTTTTTGCTTCACGTATTAATATATAGATATCTTTCACGAAGTGGCTGTCATTATTTAATAGACTACCCTTCAAAATTTTCGTTTGGAACTATTACAATATTTCATTTGATTCTTTTTTGATAATCATTCCGTTAATGCACGTTATTTAAAATTTCTTCTATTTATTTATCTTGAATAAGTCAGAGAAGATCGTCCAAACGATGAAAAATGATCAATCGCACCCATTGAGATGGATAATATCGCAACCCGATGCTTCTTAGCGTAAAAAGATATTCCACACACAATTTTTTCAATGGTGTTTAAAATTATCAGGAAGTTATGTGACGTCACACTGAATATATATACAGTTATAATCTGACTCGACATAGTTTGCAATTAACTTAAGAGTTTCATATTTCAAGAAAATTGTAACCCAGATTATATTAAGCTAAACTAAAAAAATCTCAACGGGTCGTTAATCTTACATTTGTATTCTTTGCAAAAGCTTTTTGCTTAAATATCTGAAATTTTAATAAAGAGCTTAGAAATTCATGAAGAAATTTTTCTACTTAAGGTCAATTCGTCGTTCGTGAATCAACTTAGGAGGAAATTCGCTTACAATTTATATTCGACAGTAAGCACAATTTGCAATCAGCAAAGCCTATTCTGTACTCGGGACAAGATTGTTTGTCGAGCCATTAAGCGTATTGTAACATAACAGCATTGCCTTATAACATTCGACATGAGGGTAATTTTGCAAATTTTCTTGTAATAAAACTAAGATGAAATTTAATTTGTTCACAATGAAATCTTTTTTTTTATGAGTTGGTGTGCGAATGAGCCCACGACACCGAATGGTAAATGGTCACCGCAACCCGTAGTGTTCACAGTGTTAATGTTAACCCTCACGTTGTCAAAATTTACTTTTTTTATATAATGGCTGTCTTTTTTTTATTTTTTTTTATTGCTTAGATGAGTGGACGAGCTCACAGCCCACCTGGTGTTAAGTGGTTACTGGAGCCCATAGACATCTACAACGTGAATGCGCCACCCATCTTGAGATATAAGTTCTAAGGTCTCAATTATAGTTACAACGGCTGCCCCACCCTTCAAACCGAAACGCATTACTGCTTCACGGCAGAAATAGGCAGGGTGGTGGTACCTACCCGTGCGGACTCACAAGAGGTCCTACCACCAGTAAGTGTCTCTACTCTCTACACTGGGACGCATGACTAATTTGCGGCTGAAATAGACAGGACTGTAGGCTTAATACGGGATAACAATTCGCTCCACTCCACCACTAAATAATTCACATAGCACTTCCAAATTTTATTTCGATATCAATTATACATTTTTTTATTTTTCGTCTTACTCTTTCATCTTACATTATGGGGTCGTCGCAGCATATCCTCTAATCATGCTGCATAGGGATTTAGCATGAGTTTTACGAATGGCCGCCTGCTTGACGTCAACCCTCGTTGGGTTTTGTCTCCACATATCCACTCAATGTAATCATATGCAAAGGGATTTTTCTGTTGTTTCTTTTAGCATTTCTTTTACTTCGTCCATTTTCGGTTCTATGATTTGCATTCTATTAATATGAGCATTCAAATATTAAATTATATTTCAATTACTAGCCATGCAAATACCTAAACGCGTTGTAGCGCTAGTTTTGATTAATCAAACTCAGTAAGCCTGTTGGCACGTAATTTTGTAGCGTTGAATGTTATCTGTAAATGTCGGTGATATGGTAATTTTAAAGGCTTACAAAGGCACGTAACTAAACATTGATGGATGTTCGGCCATTCATCTCTCGTCGTTTTCAATAGTTACAGACACGAGCGCTTTCAGCCACCCGCCGTTGTAATTAGCTAAACCACCTTTGTGGGGTTGATAGATAGATTTATTATCGAACATTATTCATATTAAATACGGTGATTAAATAATCACTTGATGCAGATTTATGTTCAAAATGAAGTGTTATCAATCATCGATTTGTTATAATTGTAAAATGAAATCTAAGACGATACTTTCCTAAATATTCATCTGAGAAAAGGCATTTTGATCAGTTTACCTTGTGTTTAATCTATATTCGAAGGTTTTTATTAACAGATATATAAAAAAACAGTAGTAGTAACACCAACCATATATTACTTACTTACTGGTGGTAGGATCTCTTGTGAGTCCGCGTGGGTAGGTACCATCACCCTGCCTATTTCTGCCGTGAAGCAGTAATATGTTTCGGTTTGTAGGGCAGCCGTTGTAACTATACTTGACACCTTAAAACTTTTATGTCAAGGTGGGTGGCGCATTTACGTTGTAAATGTCTGTGGGCACCAGTAACCGCTTATCACCAGGTAGGCTGTGAGCTCGTCCACCCATCTAAGCTATATATATACATACGTATTCAGCGACGACTATGCCTCATGAACTTGTTAATTACAGTAACGCAACAACTGTTTTGCGCTTTATAATATTACAAACATCAATTTTACTTTAGGAAAATTTAAGCTGTGGAAAGTAGGCGGAATTCCGGCTCGGGATAAATTTGATACGCAGGTACCGTCAGTGAAACAGTTCAGGTTTGCTTTGTTCCTAATTCATTTTGGTTTGGTCCGTGCATTGCTTTGTTGTTTGCTTGCTCAACGAACTGTATTAACCGCGTTTCGAGGTGGCCGCCAATTTCCTTTCGTGGAACCAAAGTCAAATCGAAACATGAGCATGCATTTCAATAATATTCTCACATTCTTTGTTTCTTACCAATGGGTTTAGGTTAAAGAAAAGTTAGATAAAAAAATATGTGTGTGTGTGCAAGTCACACACGGTTGAAGTGAAACTTATAAGAAACAAAAATAATCGCAAGGGTCAACAACTCCGCAGTGCAATGAAGCAGACACACCCCGGGGGAACCGCCTGCATGATCACGGTATCCTGACGCCAGGTAGATATGATTTAGCAAGAGAAATACGAGAACGTCTATCAACTGTGTAACATCTAGTCACCGCGATTCAGGAATTGTTGAATTTACGTGCAGCGTTATCTATTGATAACAAACTAAATAGAAATAAAATAAACATGGCGCGTAATGGAAGAAATTAAGATGGCGCGTAACCGAAAAATGTTACATACGTTTTTTCCTCCCTGTGTCGATAAAGAAGTTTCACTTAAAAAATGTGTTTTTTTTTTAAATATACTTTGTTTAATTTCCGACGTTTCAAATACTTTCAAGTTTTCGTGGCCTCAACGGACGACTGGCCTTCATAAATTAAATCGTAAGAAACCACGAGATTAAACTTTAAGCTGTGTCTAAGACACGAAAAACCGGAAAACATTAAAAAAAACCTCATGCCTTAGGGAATTCAAAGCAGCATGAAACTGTTTTTTTTTATTATTATCTCTTGCTGTATCCTTTTAAATGATCTTATTTTCTTTAGAGCATTCTCTTCGAAACCACAACACGGCAACGAATTGTTAAGACAACAAATTTTCCGATTCAACAAGCCATGATATTAAAAATAACACTTTCATGGAAAACCGAAACTTCATCATTCCTGTAACCCGAAATCTGTCGAACAACGCTTTATGAATATTTTGGTGTAAATTCTGTACACAGATTCTGTTCACAGATTCTGTACAATTCTGTACACAGACTAACTACTTTCAATTATCTCGCTACATGAGAACACGTTTCTTGAACTAATTGGGGAACGGTTGAAGGTGACACAGTACAGGGAATGTGTTTAACGTTATTGTCCCACGAGCAGGTTTCAAATTAATCGGATTTCGCACTATAACACTCGCTTCCCGCCACCAGAGGCTTTCACTGAACGCAATCTCTATAGTTTCACTTATGTACCTATCTATGGTTTCAATTATAACAATCAAACATTTTGAGTGGCATAATGTTTCATTGCAAATGAAATATAGTTATGATAATTACACGTTTTCAAGGAATCCTTTTTCGATACACTGGTAATCGAGCTAAAATCAGTATTCATTTTAATCTTAATTTATCAGATACAGTTCAGTAGTTTAACACAAAATCGTAGCTAGTATTCACAGTTTTATCTTGGAAATGAAGCATAAATACAAAATATAAAAGTAACACCTGAAATAGGCTATTCCGATCATCCTAATACGCATTCGGATCTAAGGAATAATATATTTGAAATCCATATATTAGGATAATTGACATCAGATCTATAACGGAGCAATCAATTCATTATATTGGCGAACACCAGCCGCAACGAATATGTGTGAGACGACATTTACCAACGCTAAGTCTTATCATAAAATTTTATGCTATAATGTATCTTTATAATAATTCTATAGTATAGTATATACAATTTAGTATAATAAAATACTAAAATAAAGAAGTTAAGTGTAGGAAAGATCTTTAACTCAAACGGGCACATTTACATTACTAGTTTCTGAGTGTAACTTATCTCATTGTTTATTTTATTTTCACATGAAAATAGGATTATTGAAGATATTTCCGTCAAATGGCATGTTTCCTTATTTTAGTTAAATTAATGTAACTATATTACGCATAAAGTATTTGCGCTTTTGTTGTCAAAAAATAATCAAAACATAAACGATGGGTTACCCAATGTTAAAGAGAAACTGAAATATACCACCAATACTTCGTTAATTAATTGCACCAACGCACATACACACACATACCTTTTGCCGCCATATTGTTTGTATTCGTGAATTCTCAACTTACATCTAAACGTTTATCGAAGTTTCGCCACAAAAACGATACGCCGCGCCGCCCCAATATATCACTCGAGCACACCTGAACTGTAATAACAAAGAATAATAGCAATTGTTTTGTGCCCGTTTTATGGGTCCTTCACTCGATCACTTTGTGTTACATTGAATTGTTTACTTAAACATCATTACTCACAACCCGTGTGAAAATAAATCACCATTTAACATTGTTACGAGACTTTTTCAAGATACAAGATACACATTAATGGTGTTTTTTCGTGTGATATATATTCGATGCGATATTATCTCAATTATAAAGGATTTACCGTTGTAGAACAGACATTTTGCTTTCAGTTTTTATTGATTGCATAATATAAATGCATAAAATAAGCGTAAGTAGGAATAAATCAAAGAAGTTATCGTGTTATGTGGCTCTTTGGGGATAGTTACTAAATCCTGCCCGTTTCTGCAGCGAAGCAGTTTCAGGCCCCCGTTTTTTTTTGTGGTATTAGAGCCGTCATACAATCAAGTATGTCTCAAGGTGGCATTCACGTTGTGATATTTGTGGACTTTGGTAACCGCTTTTCTGTCAATGGGATATCTACGGGTTTCGGTATACGCATTCCGCGGTCGCTAAACGAGGCATGTCGGAGTCGAACACGCGTCCTGGCCTCAGATAACAAACCCGGGGGCGAGGTGAAACATTTCGGGTGCCCTCATGCCCCTGCCCACCTTGCTCCCATCGATTGCCAATTGCTCTTTCGCAAGACATATATAGAGCAGCTTACACGTCATCTTAGTAGGATCAGGAAACGCGATTAATCCACTGCGATGCTTGCTTGCTGTAGGTCAACTATTGATGACTTGTGTTTATCTCTAGCTACTAGAATGCGGAAGCCGTAGTAATTGAATTTCATGAAGCGCTGATGATGTAGGAGGAAGTTAGGAAAAGTTCTAAGAGGCTATGAGCGCAAATTCGTCTTTTGAATTGGACAGACTATCACCACGTAAGATCTAAATTATGTATACGCGTAAAAAGTAAGTATTACACGGATTTTGTATTTATTTATTTATTATTTACAGATTATATCAAAATCTAATTATTTTTGTGTGTTGTTAGGATTCTTTTTCTTTGTAGATATGGTATCAACAGAAAAAACAAACAAAGCCCGGCAAGTTACCGGACACGTAACTCAATACCCAACTCCGAGGAACTTAAACGGACTTCTTAACAACTAGTTCTAAGTAATAAATCTGAACAAAAGAACATGCACAAAACATAGAGAGATTTAATTCAAAGCTTATCATCCTAAGTTATAGACACTTCATATTTTTACATAAAGATAAACTGATGTTTCGACAAGACAAAAGAAAATTGAAAATGAAAGGGTACGTGTAGTAAACAATAAAGTCGCCCTTACGCTTGTTATCCAACCTTTATGATATTATAGCTGACAGCTGAGCGGAAAATTGGCATGATGGCTTTATGCAAGATTGTATGATGAAAAAACAATTGCTTATTTTGTACAGGAAATCAATATGACCGACAAAGTAAGAATTGTTTTAGATATTCCAGTCATACTACTTGCCAACGGAGCAGGGCTCATCAATACTACCTTTCTCCGCCTAGAGGATTAGCTCCCATGCGGCGCACCATGAGAGCTATAGCTTGTCACTATTTTCACGAGGTTTTTTTTATTGCTTAGATGGGTGGACGAGCTCACAGTCCACCTGGTGTTAAGTAGTTACTGGAGCCCATAGACATCTACAACGTAAAATGCACCACCCACCTTGAGATATAAAAGTTCTAAGGTCTCAGTATGGTTACAACGGCTGCCCCACCCTTTAAGCCGAAACGCATTACTGCTTCACAACAGAAATAGGCAGGGTGGTGGTACCTACTCGTGCGGACTCACAAGAGGTTCTACCATCAGTAATTACGCAAATTACAATTTTACGGCTTTGATTTTAATTACACGATGTTATCCTTCACCGTGTAAGACAATTGTGAGCATTTGCTAACGAATTTCTTTAGAAAAAGAATTAACGCATTTCTTTAGAAAAAGTCGTACCCGCCTGCGGGATTCGAACAGCGTTGCATCGCTAGATACGAATGCACCGGACGTCTTATTCTTTAGGCCACGACGACTTCATTGATTTTTTTTTTCCTGCCTGAGCTGGTAGCCTTGAGAGGCTATTCCAGCGTAACCTTAACTAGTAGGTAAACTCACGGGGCTCAAACCTGACGACGTTGCTAACATGAACCCTAGCAAGAGCCGTGCTTCGCAGAATCTACCACCGGATCGGAAACGCGACCCACTGAGAAGATCCGGCGAGAAACTCAGTGGGCTGTGTCTCAGGGTTAATTTACTCGTCGAGCCCTTCGTCGCAAGCGACGGGTTCGACGAGAACGGTGACCGGTGCTTGAGGTACCTAAAAGCACCGTTAGTGGATCGGGAGGATCCGAGATGACGTGTTTTGGGCGACGTCGACTGCTTTCCATTCTTTCCGCAGGATCGGGAATGTAGTTACCGGCGGCCACGATGAGAGGGTTCTCGTGTCGTNGTTACGACTTTAAAACATAATATTCAAACAATTTTAAGGATTTCGACTGCTTACGAAAGCTAGTACCTATTAATAGTTCACTAAAAATAATAATATTGTCTTTGGCTCAATGTGCTTGAGCGACTAATGAAAATCTCTTTAATGAAATAGTTACGACTTTAAAACATAATATTCAAACAATTTTAAGGATTTCGACTGCTTACGAAAGCTAGTACCTATTAATAGTTCACTAAAAATAATAATATTGTCTTTGGCTCAATGTGCTTGAGCGACTAATGAAAATCTCTTTAATGAAATAGTTACGACTTTAAAACATAATATTCAAACAATTTTAAGGATTTCGACTGCTTACGAAAGCTAGTACCTATTAATAGTTCACTAAAAATAATAATATTGTCTTTGGCTCAATGTGCTTGAGCGACTAATGAAAATCTCTTTAATGAAATAGTTACGACTTTAAAACATAATATTCAAACAATTTTAAGGATTTCGACTGCTTACGAAAGCTAGTACCTATTAATAGTTCACTAAAAATAATAATATTGTCTTTGGCTCAATGTGCTTGAGCGACTAATGAAAATCTCTTTAATGAAATAGTTACGACTTTAAAACATAATATTCAAACAATTTTAAGGATTTCGACTGCTTACGAAAGCTAGTACCTATTAATA